TGTTAAGTTAATTAAGCCAGACCCAGACAAATCTGCTTTCTCTCACTTACAGATCTAGGGTAGGTGTGTGCCTGTGTATGTGAAGTACATGAAACACATGTATGAAGATGTCATCTTTTGTACAACAAATAAATGCTTATTAAGAAAGAAAGAGGGACATGCCTAGAGTTGAGAAGTGATGGTCTTCTTGAACTGTAAGATGACCTTGAGCTTGAGAAACACAGGCTGGGACTGACAGAGCAGAACAGTGGGCAGTGCAGACCACACAGTTTCCATCAGTACCAGCTGTCTGCACCGCCCAGGCCTCTTCACTGTAGAAATGCAGACTGGCAGCTTCTCTAAGTGTGAGTTTCTGTTTTGCTTTTGTCTTTTTTTTTTTTTTCCTACTAGGGATGGGTGCTTCTGTGGTCTGGCACAATACAGTCTGAATGGTAGGGGCCTCGAATACCCCGGTGTTAGGTGACACCAGGCAGTGGTGTGTGTTACAGAGGGCAGAGGAAAGGAGAGGTGGCCCGGGGACGGCAGAGCCATGCATAAACAGGCCAGAGGCCCACAGAGAGGCCAGGGGGACATGCAGGATGGGTCACAAGACAGACAGGTTGTTAGGGACAACAAAGGGAGGTCCTCTCCTCAGGGTGACTGGGAGCAGAGTGAAGATGAAAGCACACTGGGAGCTATTTGCAAGGAGGGAAGAGGCTGAAAGTTCAAAAGAGTGGGCTTGATGGCTCACACCTGATTTCCAAGTCCCACAGGGGCTACAAGCAGGAGAGAGTTGAGAGAGTTCGGGCATATGGTGAGACCCTATCTCAGACAGAGTAGGGGAGAGAAGAATTTAAAAGAATGAGTTCAAGCCTAACAAACAGGGAGAACCACCAAGAACAGCAGGATTTGTAGAGGATGCTGGGAGAGGCAGTGTCAGTCCCCGGGAGAATGGCTGTGCCCTGTGCCTACGCTGCTTGGGGTGATGAATGGTACACATGGGTTTAAACTCTGAACTCAAGCCTGGGCTGTAACCCAGTGATAGAGCATGTGCAAGGGCTTGGGGACTGTCTCCAGGCCCCACGAGAAGAGGGAGAAGAGGTGTTTCCTTGTTCGTTAAGTACACAGACCCCATGATGGCACCTCCCAAGCCCAGAGACTTCCCTTTGCCTTTCATTCCGGGACACCGCTGCCTCTGTGCCCCGTCTCCATCCTAAACCCACACACTCCATCCTTTGCCCCTGAAATCCACCATGGGTTCTGGTCTCTCAGCCTGTTCTGCCACCATTACCCCTCAGGGTATGTTCCACCTCACTCTGGCCACCCTTCCATCCTGCCATTGGGCCAACTCAGGTCTCGTTCCCCCCTCCCCATTCATTTTCCATTTGTGCCTCATGCCCTCCCACCAAAAACTGCCATTTGCAGGATCAAGACTCTGATCCCCAGAACAATTACAACAGCACCCACTCCGTGTTCAATTAACAGTTGCTGAGTGAATAAATATTCTCTGTGCCTAAAGTTGAAGCTAAAGGACTAAAAGCAAGCGATACTGAAACTAGTTTAAATAAGCACTGAAGAGCTAAGGGAAGTTAAGTAATAAAAGCTGGGGTGGGAAGTGAGACAGTTCCCAGCCTCCTGTGAATTCTGTGAACCCTACAGCCTGCTGATGAAGGCTCAGTCTGGTGAGTGCCTTCCTTTTTTTTTTTTTTTTCCTTTTTCTCCTTGAGAGTCAGTTTCCTCCCCTTCCTGGGGCCTCCTCCTCCCGAGGAATGTGGAACCCAGGTCGAGGAATGTGGAACCCAGGTCGATGGTGCTGTTGGTAAGATACCTGACCTGGAGTGAGGCGACAGGAACAAGAGCAGAGCGCCTGCTTCAATGTTGTCGTACTTGTGGAAACCCAGGATGAGTGATGGAGGCCCAGGAAGGGGAGGAGAGCCAGGCTCGGAACCTCTGGGGCTGGCCAAGTGGCTGCAAGAACACTTAGGACACGTGTGGTGTTCTCATTCCATGTCACCGGTGCCGGCTGGGAGCACAGCCCTGAAAAACAGCTTCTTCTGTGACACAGATGGAAAAGTCACTTTTATTTCAGCTCAGATACCGTTTTTTCCTTTTAAAGCATCCATTCCATCCCAGGAGAGCCTCTCAAAGGGCCGCCTCCAGCCCAGCCTCTGGCAGAGCCCAGCAGCCCATGCTGGCATGAGAAAAGCCCCCGTGCCCGACTGCTACTCTGGGAATCACCTAAAATGACTGCCTTACGTGTGGAGAAACTGAGATGGACAGAGAACAGGGCAGCTTCCAGTCTGGATTTTCTTCTGTGTCAGCCCTCCAGAAATCCCTCATTTGGGACACAGAGGAAAAGCTGAGCACATGGCCTACTTAGGGAGCCTTAATTATGGGCTCTGGGTGGTATTTTCCTGTCATCCAAGAACCAACTTCCAGGGCTGTTGATGGGGACTGATTTATCCCAACATCAGGCCCCCTTTGAAAATGCACTGACACCTCAGACCCGGCCACACTGTGTTGGGGAATAACTGGGTGGGAGATACAAGGGGTACGGCTCCAAGGTCCACGCTCTGCACTGCTGCTCTCAGAGGGGTTTTAGAGCCCTGAGCACCTGCGTGGGCTGAGGTGGGGCAGGACACATCCCCTGGGGGCTCTGGCAGGAAGTTCCAGCCCAGCCGGCCTCACCCTAGGTCCATTCTCTTCCCCTCTCTGGAAAGTTCATGCTCCCACCCACGTGTGCCTGTGTGTACGTGCACAGGCCCCTGGAGACCCAGGTAAACAGCCCGCTGGCCAGTGGCCTGGGCTGTGCTCTGGAGCCCTTCCTCCTCTCAGCTCTTTGCGCGGAGGCTGAGGGCTGTCATTACCACTCCGAGTCGTTAGATTGCCAGAGGGGGGAGAAAACCCAACAGTTTTTCCTCCTCTACGAGTCTAATTACTGACTTGGTTAGTCCCGACCCATATACATTTCTACAGAGAGAGACACCCTATGCCTGCTGAAAAAAATGCCCTTGGCCGGCTTTCAAAGACCCTGTGCCCCGCCAGGTGCTGTCTGTCAGCCGGCCGATGGTGCGAGCTGCAGGAACCTCCATGAGTTTAGGCAACCGAGTCTGTAGGTGCTCATGAAAGGAGGCCCTGGAGACCCTGCCATTTCCCTCTTTCTGTGCCTCATCTTTCCCCTGGTCCTACCATGCTCTTTCATTAACCTGCTTTTGTCATGGCGGCCCCTCTCCCAGACGGGCGCTCCCTCGCCATTACCTGCGGCCCATGCCTTGCCTCATTTGTCCACTGCAGTCGGCTCCCCGACCCACGGGCAGGTTCAGTTCCAGCTCCGTTTGGGTTTTGTTGAATCTTGTCATTACATCCTCCTTCACTTGTGTGCATCTGTTCGTTGGGCGTGTTCCTGTCATGGCTTAGGTGCTATGCCTAAGACCTGCACAAGGTCTTGAACCAAGACCTTAGGGGTGGGCTAAAACATCTGAGTGGTTCAGGGAGGCTGAGTGTCCCACCGAAGGGTGAAAAGGGACCCAGTGTAGACTTCATCCCCTGTCCTCTGGAGCGTAAGTCCAGTGGGGACTTGCCCTAAGGTACCCTTTGTTCCTCATCCTGCCTGCCCTCTAGTTCTTGTTCTTTTTTTTTTTTTTTTTAAGATAATCTTATTTGTGGACCGGCCAGGCTCCAAAGGTCTGTGATCTTCCTTCTCCTGCCTCATGCTGGGCTGCCGGTGAGGGGGCACGGCACACACCTGGCTGTGCTCCGAACCTCCCTGCTGCCTTGGATTCTGGTAGAAACACCCTGGGCCTTTGCTTATCTACCTGGCTCCCGTCCCTCCTGGACTTGCGTCCCAGAAGACAGGGGATGAGGTCTACACTGAGTTCCTTTTCACCCTGGGGTGGGATGCTCACCTCCTTGAGCTCCTCAGATGTCTTTCCTAGCCCAGCCCCCAAGGTCCTGATTCAGCGTTTGAGACCACCTGTGGCTTTCCCCCCAGGCTGCTCATCTGCCACTGTTTAGAGCTTCCTTCTTACCTGGGAACTTTGCAGTCACGCTGTTTTGGAGCCATTTGTTTGTTCATTCATTCTTCAGTTTCTTTCATGCTGGCTGCTGCTAGGCCCTGGAAACACAGACATGACCCATGCAGATGCGGCCCTTCCTCAGCATGTTTCTACTTTATTTATTTTTATTTTTGAGATAGTCTTATTCTGCAGCCAAGACTGACCACAGGTTCACGGCAATCCTCCTGCCTCATCCTCTCAAGTGCTAGGATTACAGACATGAGCCAGCACACATATGTATACAGTGGGGGAGAGGCAAAGCAGAAACAAGTAAACTGACAGATAAGATAATGTAGAAAAATGTTAACAGAGCAGAGACAGAGCCTCAGCCTCCCAGTGAGAGTGTGAGGGGCCAAGGGGCAGAAAGGCATGTGGGATGATGCGTGATCTCCCTGCAGCAGTGGCCAGTCATTGTTTTATTGTTGTTTTTTTAACATGTCCTTAAATGGTCTGAAGAGAAAAAGCCCTGAGGGTACAGTTTTTTCCCTCTGTGGATATGGGCTGAGAGGGAGGCCAGGCATGCTCTTGGCAGGGACAGTGGCCCAGGGAGCCCACAGAGGTCTCAGCAAGGGTACATGGGGCAGCAGCGGGCATGAAACACCACCAGCCACGAGTGGCAGGGAGCTGGGTGACACTGCAGCTGCGTCTTCCGGATCTTGGCTCACTTGGCCATGAGTAGCTGAAGCCAGCCGCTACCTGGTATGAGTGGATGCCAGACGGTGGGTGGCGTCTGTGGCTTCAGTGTAGCACATAACTTAAGAGCAAACAAGAGCCCAGAGTCCCAAGACATGAAGCACCTGTTGCTTCATTTCTGCAGCTAATGTTCCTGATGCCAGAACGTGCAAAAACTGCCTACCTGGAGCTGCCCCCCACCCCAACCCCCGAGCTCCTGTGAGCAGAAGAGGCAGTGGAACCCATCCACCCTCTTGTCCCCAGTCCTGACTCTGCGCTTCTTTGGCCTGACAGATGAAGACATGCGCTTCTGGTGTCCCTCTCTTCAGGAGGTCAAGGAGGTGTTCCACAGCCTGGGAGCCTACAACCCTGCGCTGTACCCACAGGGGCCCTTCCAGCACAGCGCCAGGTGCGTACCTCCCGCCTCGCTGCGGCCTGCGGCTCCAGCCTGCACAAACACTCATCCTGCCTGCGAGTACAGGCGTCATTCCACACACAGTGGAACCTCCTGGGCCAGAGCTCAGAGGCACTGGACAACCAGGGTGGAAAAGTTTTACCACTTAATTCAGATCCTGCCCCCGACCCCCACCCCCAACACTCGTGTGTGCGCGCACGCACACACACACACACACACACACACACACACACACACACTGTTGGCTCCCAGACTTCTCTGCCCAGTTAGTGCCTCCCCCAGCAGATTCCAGCCTCTCTTCAGATCTGTTTGATGTGGGCTTATAGTAACTACTGGCCAGCTGAGCACAGTTTTCTGTCATTGTTGGGCTGGGATGGGATGTGTGTTTGGTTGGGTGTTTTGAGATAGGGTCTCATACCTCTCAGGTCGGCCTCCAACTCTCTGTGTAATGCAGGAGATTAAACCCAGGGTGTCCAGAATGCTAGCCAAGCACTGTACTAACTGAGCTACGCCCAGACCATTGTTGTTAAAGACAGAGTTTTGCTATGTAGCCCTAACTGGCCCAGAATTTTCTGTGTCTCCAAGGCTGGCCTTCAACTCAAGGCTGCTTCTCTGCCTCTGCCTCACAGAGTACTAGGATTACAGGTCCCCATCAAAGTGTCTGGCTTAAGATGGAATATCTCCTTGAACATCCTTTATTCCCAGGAGACATAGGCAGGGAGGTCTTTCAAGACCAGCCTGATCTACATAAGGAGGTCCAGACCAACAGAGCTATACACTAAGACTCTGTCTTAAAGATACCATTTGTATCTATAATAAACTTTGTTGTAAAAAAAAAATAAAACCTCCCTTTACCAAGGGCCTCACCAGCTAGACAAACTACCAGCTGAGCTACACCCCAGAACCAAGCACTATTTTGCATTCAGTTTCCAGTAGGTTCTATTTTTGAGAGTTCACTTTCTGCCTGGAGAGGGCTTGGTAGTGGACAGCGGTGCCGATTGTGTGAACACATCCCTGCGCCCTAGGAACAGAGACGCACAAATCGTGAATGACCGTGGTTGGGTGGTGATGGCTAGATAGAGGCTCTAACAGTGCTGTGTGTCACACTGTTCTCCAATCCTATCCCAGCTTCCTTGAAAAGCCTCTGAGATGTTCCACCCTGCATCTGGCAGCAGCCCCTCCACCAGGCAGAGCTGGGACCCTTTCCTCGGCTGCCGGATGTTTCTCGGCAGGGAAAACAGAGCTTTCTTAAGAACCTGTTCCACGACTGTGTTTAGTAATTGTCTGCCAAACCCAGCCACACTTGGCTCTGCTATAAATACCCCACGCATGTGCCAGCCTGCCATGCTCCTGCCCCTTTTCCTTCTGGTGTGCAGCGCTCCATATCGGGTGTAATAAGGCTCTTGCTGCTTCCTAACACATCCTGCTGTGTCTTAAATGAGTGGGGAGAATTCGAATTACACTCAGAAAAAGCAAAGCATGTCAGAGGAAGAGCCTGGTGGTGGATGGGATCAGATGAGCCACTTGTGACACTCAGGCTTTGGTGAGTACCCAGAGCACACCTGGAAGATTGGAAACACACTGGAGCCATCCCATCCCGGGTTCCCAGAAGTTCTGCTCTCCTAGGAAGCCTCCAGGCTCTGGCCCTTTAAACATGTCTCCAGTCTTCCATGCACAGAACTTAGCACAAAGACTTCAGCTTAACCGGGTACAGTGAACCCCTGAACTGGGAGAGAATTGTTGCTGGGCCACATGACTTCACTCCTAGACATACATGCCTTTTGACACACACACACATCTTTACATGGGTCCCGGACACTGGCATAAGTGTTAAGGCTGTTGCTGCAGGGAGGATTCAGAGGAGGCCTGGAGGACCCATCAGTGGCCACAAAGGCATTTTTCTTGCTTGTGGCTTGTAAGAGCAGGCTGGAGACCACCTGCCAAGCCCCCAGAAAGAGGTTTTTCTTCGTGTATTCGTTCTCCTTGCTGCATCTTTTCGTGGAACAGGTGGGTGGTGAAGATGCTCAGGGCCCTTCCTTGAGTTGCTGTGAGGTGGCTACTACACTCGAGAACACTCTGGATAGCATCATGGAACTGAAAGACAACTCCAACAAAGTGTTCAGGAAGTGTCCTGATAGATCCAGCATTCCTTCACTAAGGGCACACCATCTTGAGGAGGAATAGACAAGAGAAATGATGGAGCGGCCACGTGTGTCCCATGGTCCTGTTCACACTTGTTCCTGGCCAATTTTTTTTTTTTTTTTTTTACCGTGTGAAGCTCTGGCTGGCTGTCCTGGAACTTGCTCTGTTGATCAAGCTGGCCTCAAGCTCACAAAGATATGCCTGCCTCTGCTTCCTGAGTGCTGGGATTAAAGGCCCGTGCCACCACCACCCGGCTTGGCTGCTCTTAGATGCTGGCATTGTTGCCATTTGTTCATGCTACCTGTCTCTGTTGGCTTCTAGACATGTCCCTCCCTGGGCTCCCTGTGGGCCACCTCTGGTGGCACTCCAGGGTCTTAACAGCTCAGGCTGCAAGTGAGGGCCAAAACACCTCTGCCATATGACTGACTGTCTCTAATTGCTGTAAGGAAGCTGTGTTGCACTGTTTGCTTGTAACTTCAGATTTCTGCCACTATCCCTCTGCTGAAATGTGCATCATGGTTTTCTAAGAGGGCTGAAGAAATGACTCTGTTGGTAAAATGTTTTCTGTGCATCATGAGGACCTAAGCTTGGATTTCCAGAACCCATGGGATGTGAGGTAGAGTTCTGGAGTGACAGAGACAGAGGATGTCCAGAGCTCGCTGGCCAGCCAGTCTAGCCAGGACTGTGAGCGCCAGGTTCAGTGAGAGACCTTGTCTCAAAAAAATAAGGTGGCGCTGGAGAGGTGGCACAGCTTCTAAAATCTAAGTAGAGCTAAGCTAAGCTCACAACCAGAACGTTGGTGGAGCGTGACAAGAGGAAGGGATGGACTGCCTCCACATTTCAGAGGCTCAGGTATGCACGCACACGAATACACAGGCACACCTACACCCCTGCAGGCACAGGCACACAACTCAGACACACACAAAGACTTTCTCTCAGGAAAGCACAGCCCTTTGGCAACTACCGTGCACATTATCTGATGCCCAGAAGAATGGGAGGATTTGGGGAATGGAAGGGCAGAAGAGGGTCCAGTGTGTGAGCGTAAATAGAAAACAGAGTTGGAACATCAGCGTTCTTGCAAGGGGTTGGACCTCCTCTGCTGCACAGGCTGGGCTCTGTCTGTCTCCCCCTAAGGACAGGAAGATTCCTTAGGTGACTGTGACAGTCCCCCAGTGCTGCTGCTGCTGCTGTCTAATAACAGAGCTTTCCGCTGGCTTTGACAGACAACCCAAGGCAGGAGGGAGGATTTATTTGGGTTCACCATTTCAAAGGGTTCTGTCTGAGGTCAATGCCTTGAGTGGCCAGGCAGAGGGCCTGGTGGAGGACATCCTTTAAAATCATGTCCCATGTGGCCACTTCCTGCAGCCACACCTGTTCTCCTAATACCCACTCAGCTAGAAACTGAGCAGTCCATGAGGTGAGCATTCTCATGAGAACTGAACCTTCAACACAGACTCCTTTTGGGGGACATATCATGTCCAAGCTGTAACAAAAGGCCAGCTGAAGAGGTTGCCTGGATATATGGTGTGGCCTTCAGGAGCATTCCGGTCTGGTTTCTGGAGCTGGGAGTCATAGTTCACTTGGTTCTCAGAGAGGACATCTGCTGCAGAGGCCAGCAGGCAAATAAAGGACAACACACCTAAAGAACATCCAGAGCAGCACTGAAGTAGTAGGTAACTTCCTCTGATGGCGTGACTGGAGCCAGGTGTGATTTACACACACACACACACACACACACACACCCCTCACTGGGTCAGCAAGGACTGCTCTTCATTTAAGGAGACATCAACTCCAGTTTGGTACAGACTGCTGTGGGGCTCACTGCTGGATGCCAGAGGGCTCTTGATGGTGGCAGCAGTGGCGCTTGGATTTGCCATCTTCCCTCCGAAAATGTCGCAGAGCTATGCGAGTGCTGGCTTTAATATGACTGTTTTTCCTCCCCCCCCTTCTTACTCAAATGTACTATATACTAGAGGCTGCCCTTGAACCCATGATGATCCTATCACTACTCTACCTCCTGAGTTCTGGGCCTCCAGGCAGGAACCACCAGGTCTAGCTTTTTACAATGTCTTTTCAACCCTCCAAGGAAAGCAAATGTATCGGCATTTGTACAGGGAGAGGTCAGTTGCTGCACCCCTGTAAGTTCGCTTTATGAGTCTAAAACAATGTGGTGAGACTTAAACTCCAGGCCCTGAAGGTAGCAGCTGGGGAAGAAGCTGACTGAAACTGTCCGCTCTCTTCTAAACTGCTGCGGTCAGGCTGGAAGAATAGAGACTGGTGGCCCTGAGTTCCTGTGCTTCATGCCTCCTGCTAGATGAAGCCATGGGAATTAGCCAGTGCTGCGTCTAGAACAGCTGTCACGGGACGTGACAGGGTGATGTAGCTCCGGGGTGGAAAGCTTGGCCTAGCATGCTTGAGGCCCTGAGTTCATTACCCAAGAGTGCCAAATAAGTAAGCAAATCACACAATAGCAATCTAGGCGCCTGCGGTGTACCCCATGGTGTTGCTGTCCAGAAGGAGAAGAGCTGAAAAGTGTCTGGACTCAAAAAGGGAAGTGACTATACTTGAGAAGGCTGGTGTCTCTTCCTCTTCCTGGAGGAAAGGCTCTGTCACAGCCATGCTTCCCCGCAGACAATTCTAAAAAGGCTGTCAGCAGCTCACAGTTCCTTAGCCCGCCTCCCTTTGGCAGCAGCAGCCTGCCTGAAAGCCTGTTTCTCTGTAGCGGCCCATGACTGCCACACTCTGTGAGCATCTGAAAACATGCCCACCCATGCTCACTCCCCGTGCCTGCTCCCAGGCTGGTACAAACCGAGACACCCACTCAGATATTGGCACAGGCCCAGTATGCACCCAGATATGAAAACTCCAGCCTCACCCGTTCTTAATAAAGGCTAAAATCCAGAAGAAAGGCTGAGCCCAGCTTCCCCATCAACTTTGGTTTGTGGGCACCAGTTTCTCAGGGATGTAGGAGACAGATCTGTTTCCCCTCTGAAACTCCAGGGCCAAGAGGTGAAGAAAAGAGGAAACTTCCTGAAGCTGTGGTAGTCAGTGCTGCCTTGACAGCACCTGTGGTCAGAGCAGCTGTGCTAGAGCCTGTTCTTTTCCACAGCGTCATTGTCATCCTCAGCACCGCAGCTAATGAGGGACCCTTGCTTTCAGGGCCTCTAAGCAGGTCCCTAAGAGCAGAGAGTCAGGACAGGAGGTGCAGGGGTAGCTCAGCTGCCAGAGGCCTTGCCCAGAAAGCATGAAGCCCTGGGGCTGATCCTCCACACTGCATAAACTAGATGTGGTGGCACAGGCTGCAGTCCCTGTACTCAGGAGGTAGGGGATCCAAGTTCAAGGTTATCCTTGGCTGCATAATGAGCTTGAGACCAACCTGGGATAGGAGAGACCCTGTCTCAAACAAACAAAGTGTGGAGAAGTGAATGAGATAGCAGCGGGGAAATCTGCCTAAGTGACTGGTCTGAAAGAGAAGAATCTAGTGAACTAGGAAGCTTGCAGGGCTGACTGGTCATGCCTGATACCATCCTTGCCAGGCGCAGCTCCAGGCTGGCTGTGTGTGACTCTGGTCTTCAGGGAGGGGATTTCTTCATTCAGCCCCAGCCAGCAATCTGCCCATCACTGGAGGGACCGGCCACAGGGAGCCTGTCCTCAGACTACTTGTTAGATGCCTGTGGTGGGACCGTGCAGCCTTGTTCTGACTTTTGTCTCACTTGCTGAGCCCCCTTGTGAGTTGCCATGTGGTTCTTTGGGTGGGGGCATTTACCATCATTGAACAGGCAAAGAGATGGCTTCTGTGGGAGATTATGGTGGGGTGGGGATCAGAGGTCCCCAGCACGCTGATGCTGGAGCTCTCATCTGAATGTCGAGCCCGAAGGAGTCACCAGTGACCGACCACCCATCCAGTGTGTACTCTTGCCATGCCCTTGTGTAGCCCATACCCACAGCGAGTCAGGCTGGCCTGTGTGGCTGCTAGAAAGCAGCAGGAGCAAGATCAGGTCTGAAGGCTCCAGTTGTCATGGGAGTACTTCCTCCAGCTCTGGGGAAGGGACTCCCACTGCCATATGGAAAAAAGCCCCATGTGGCAATAGGAACCAGGAACCTCCCAATCCACAGCTGTATGGATGAGCTGAGAGACGGGCCCCTAGCATAGTCAGGTCTGCCATGAAGGAGCTGCACCCAGCATCTTGAAGATAAGCCACAGAAGAAAACCTCCCCAGCTGACTGTCCCTGGACCCTGGGCTCTCAGAATCTCAGTGGCATAATAATAATCATTTGTTGTTTTGAGACAGGGTTTCCCTGTTATAGCTCTGGATGTCCTGGACTCACTTTGTAGACCAAGCCTTGAACAGAGATTCTCCTGCCTCTGCCTCCTGAGTGCTAGGATTAAAGGTGTGTGCCACCACCAGCCTGGGCATAATAAATGTTTTGAAGCTTCTACTTGGGGAAAGGGAAAGGCACATCTTAGCAGATGAGGATGGGACATATATGAACAGTGGCCTTGGACAGTGGGTCCTCTGTGCATTCTCTGGTCCTCTGGCTCTGCCTCTCTCTCCTTGTGCACCTCTTACTCCCATGTTATGTATACTGATAATTATTTCTGCTTTATGTCAGAGGGCTTGAAGGTGGCGCTGGCCTGGGCTTGTGGAAACCACAGGATCCTCCTCAGGAAGTGGCCTTGGACATTAAGCTGAGCTATATCTACAAGGTGAGCCAAGCTTCCTTTCCTGCCTCACCCCAAAGTGTTGGGGTACAACTCTGACTACTCAGAAATTTAATTGGGTAGCATTGCCAGTCGCCTGCAGTGAGCCAGGTCACACCACCGTAGGCTCAGTGGTGGCCCTGGTACCCATGCTACAGAAAGCTGCAGTCTACCTGTGACAGCTAGCATGGCCAAAGGGGTTCACAGAACAGGTGCTCTACTGGTCTCTAGGGAGCTGGTCCACAACCCTTTCCCTCCCTCTGAGTGTCCCTAGCCCTTCCCTCACCCCCGCCCCAACACTGCCTCTGGTTCTCTCCCCTTCCAGTTCCTGATCCTGTGTTTCCTAGTCCAGCCAAGGTCCTACACGGACGCCAGCATCTTAGGCCTAATTGAGCTGCTGTGCCGAGCAGGCCTAGATGTGGGGTTGTGCCTGCTGCCCAAGACTGACCTCCAGCAACTCCTGCTCCTTCTTCTGGAGAACATTCAAGACTGGCCTGGAAAGGTACCCAGCCTGGGCACTGCCACTGGGGACTGCCATGCCCTGGAGTACCCTAGATGGGGAGTTCTTGCAGCTCCTTCGGGGTCCCTGGCCCTTATAAAGGTTCCTTTGCTCCCTTAAGTAAGCTGAGTGGCAGGGCAGAGACTAGGCAGTTCCCTCCAGCAGCTGACTGGCGCCTCTGTCCCCACAGCTCCAGCCCCTGTGCTGTGCCCTCAGCTGGGTATCTGACCACCACCACAACCTGCTGGTCCTCGTGCACTTCTTTCTGGATGTGACCCCCCGGGGCAGGTGCGTGCTCTCAACTCTTCTGCCTCCTCCCTGGTGCTCATCCCCATGGGGTCTTTCTAGGATCTAGAATCTTCCTTCCCCACCAACCCCAACAAACAAACTGCCTAGTTTCTAAACTCTCAGAGGAAGAACTAAAAATACAATTCACTAATGAGTTCTTTACAAATGAAAAAAAAAAAAAAAAAAAAAAACCGCCTAATTTTCTTAACATGATCTTATTAGTAAAACACTGTCTTGTGCAATTAGCCTCTGCCTGCAGTACCCGCCCGCCCTTCTTTGTGGCTCCCCCTGCCTTTGGTTACTGAGTCCTTTTTGTCACTCAGACATGAGCTGCTCATCCCCTTCCCCCTCTTCCCACCACCCACCCCTACTCCTAATTCATCAGCGTTTATTTTCCACGCAGCATTTCTCTGCCACAAATTATCTTACTATTTATTTCCCTGTTTGAACTCCCTCTCTCCTCCAAGTGACTCCAGAGCAGGATCACTGCCACATCGCCCCAAATCTCAGTCTGCCTGGCAGGCAGCTGGTATTTCGTAAAATTCTTTTGGAATGATGAATGAAGTCAACTAACAAACTCAGCCCAGGAGATAAGACCTGCTGGCTGGACTTGGCCTTGCCTCCTCATCTCCACCTTCCTTCTCCTGCTCAGCTGTAAGGAGTGCCCTGCCCGCACCCTTGCTGCCCCTTCCTTCCCACCCCCTGTTGAGCACCTGACAGTTGTTCTCTGTGCTCTGTGGGCACCGTGGTCTCCTAAGAGACCTTGCACCCCAGGCCCGTCGGTCGGGCAGACTTGATGCATAGTCCTAGCCCTGCCAGGTTCAGCTTCAGCTCTCCACTGTGAATCTGCCCAGTCCTGACAGGTAAGCTCTGTCCTCATCCCAGTATGCACCTTGTCAAGGAAGCCCACGCCTCTGAGATTTCTTTCCAGTTGATTTGAAAAGACCAGGCCTGCCTCCCCCACAGCATATCTCTCCAGAGAGCAAGCTGGAACCAATCGTCCTAGTGGCTTCTCCCCCTCCCACCTTTCATTCCTAAACCTGTGCTTACTGCCTTCAGAATCCTAAATCCTTATTTTTGGTTGCATCTTTGTGTCAACTCCATGACAGCCATTGTGCTGACTGGCTCATTTTAGAGCCATCCTTATTCACTCACCCTAACTCACCCATTTGGTTTCCCCAGGATGCCTAAAAAGGTATCAGGTATCGGAGGCAGCCTTCTCTGCTCCTTTCAGCCCGAAGACACCTACTGACACCAGCAAAACACAGGTGGACCATGCTAAACAGTATGACAACGGCTGCCCTCCATATGCTCATTAGTGTTCTTTAAGTCGTAGTCAGACTGAGGAGTAGAAAATATCATCCTGTTTTTCGTTTTCACCTACCTGACTGCCAGCAAAAAGGAGCTGCTTTTCACCTCTGTTGACTGTTTATGGTTCCCTTAAGTGACTCACCTCCAGTGTGCCTTAACCATTTTCCGTCATTAATTTATTTTCTTATTAACCGCATCGATTTACAAGCTGCCTCTCACCTTTGTTGCAATAATAAATTCTAAAAGGAATATTTTTTTAAACATCCATCATTCCTGAAAGACTTGAAAATATTGTCGTATTCCAAATCCATAGCTGTGCCCGTTCTTTTTGAATGAGGAGGACTAGAGAGCACCTTTCACCTGTGTTTTAGACAGCTGTCAGCAGACGGCCTCAGGCCTCGGGTTTTGCTGGGGAGGAGGGGTTACTCACTGGGATGAAGGTATTTATTCAGATTAGCTGGCATGGTGGCGGACACCTGGATTCCAGCTCTCAAGGAGCTAAAGTAGGAAGAGTTTGAGTTCAAGCTGAGCTTAGTTGATATAGTGAGATCCTGCCAAAAAAAGGCAGGCATGGTGGCCCGTAATCCGAGCCACCTGAGGGGCAGAGGCAGGGGGTTGCTGAATTAGAAAGGCACCTGAGCTAGGAAGTGAATTCTTGGCCAGTGTAATTTAGACTGGGGAGGGGAGGGGAGGGGAGGGGAAGGAGTAGGGGCTGAATAAAATGTGGGTGTTGGGTGTAGCAGCGCACAACACTCGGAACCCCAGCACTGGAAGATGGGATCCAGAAGGAGGATCCCAGGCGTTAGCGCAGTCACCTGGCTAGACAAACTGTCCTGGTTAGGCTCTTGTCATCTTGACACTGGCTAGAGCACTGTCTGGGCAGAGGAGCCTCAGCTGAGAAAGTGCTCCCATGGGATGGGCCTGTGGGCAAACCTGTGGAGCATTTTCTTAGTTGATGGTTGATGTGGGTGGGCCCAGCCCACTGTGGCAGTGCCACCCAGACAGGTGGTCTTGGATGGTATAAGAAAGCTCAACAAGCTCTGGAGAGCAGGCCAGTGTGAGCAGGCTTGTCCGTCCTCTCTGCTTCAGTTCCCGCCTCCAGCTTCTGCCTGGGATCCTGCACAGCTGCCCTTCATGGCATACAGTGATCTAGAAGCTGAAACATACCTTTTTCTCCCCAAGTTGCTTTTGGTCGTGGTCTTTGTCACAGCAATAGAAACCTAACTAGAACAGACAGTTTTTCTCAAAATATATAACAAAGAATCCTTGAGGAAGATGTTCAAGTTCTATCTCTGGACTCTATATGCACATGTGAGCACATGTACACAATAATAGTAGTTTTTAAAAGAAGAAATGTTATTTCACTTATTTTTCTAAATAGAGCACTCAAGAGCCGGGCACGGTGGTGCATGCCTGTAATCCCAGCACTCGGAGAGGCAGAGGCAGGCAGATCTCTGTGAGTTCGAAGCCAACATGGTCTTCAGAGCGAGTTCAGGACAGCCAAGACTACACAGAGAAACCCTGTCTCAAATAAAACAGCAAAAAGTAATTAATAAAAAAGTATTAGATAAAATAAATAGTATTAAAATAAAAAGTATTAAAAAATTAATAACAGTAATAATAATAAATAGAGCCTTCAAGTAGTGCCAAATTTAGAAGGTACCAAGGAGTGAGTAGGTGGGCATGACGTGCCCCAGCTCCGTGCCACCCTCCTGCCATCTCCAGTCTCAGTACCTGTGTGTGCGCAGGCTCCCTGCAGGTTCTTTTCAAGGTATGGTTTGGCAACCCTTCCAAACTGGCTCATAAAGAGCTTCTGATTCTTTCTCATGTCTTGCTGTGGTCTTCAGTTAGAACTGCATCAGTGGTGATGAAGGACTCGGGCTGCCAGGCTCTGCCCTCGCTGGTAGCAGCCCCATTGGGCTCAGGGCCCAGACTGACCCCTGGAAGAAGGGTTGTTGTGCATAAGCTGTTGCGCTCTGGATGTACTCAATTGGTTAAGTACAAAGCAATAACTCCCACTGCTGTCCTCTCCCACGGACTTGTGCTGAGTGTCCAGCACCCTGCCTTGACCAAGACTTCAGGGGACAGGCCACCGCCGAAGGAAGCGCCCAGCTTAACCATGAAAAATGAAACTAGGCTGTGAAGCAAGCCACCTGAAGCGGGGCCATTGGGAAGAGGGGTTCTTGAAGGGAAATGAGCATAGGGAAGGTGACCCCATTTGGATGGGCCACAGAGTTGCTGGAAAGAAGAGTGCTCTGCTATGCATTCTGCTCAGGCAGTGGCTCTCAGCCTTCCTAACACTAAGACCCTTCAGTACAGTTCCTCACGTTACTGGGGGCCCCAACCGTATGATTGTTGCTGCTTCATAAGTACAATTTTGCTACTGTTACGAATCCTAAGGTAAGTATGTTTTGAACATAGAAGTTTGCCAAAGGGGTCATGACCCACAGTTGTGCTAGGGGCTTTAGTGTGTGCTGAGCCAACCTCCTGCTGCCACAGGAAAGAACTCCATCGGGAAGGAGAAGGAGGTGATGGTGGTGCTTGCTCTGCTGGTGTTCCCAGGCTCCAGGGACCTGCCTCCACCCTCTGTGACTCACTGTGGCCTCCAGAGCATGAGGAGAATGAGACCAGCGTGAACAGACAGCCTGTTCCAATGGCATGGTGGACAAGGCTTACTGGAACGTGTCATGAAACCAACCCTGCTGGACAGTGACCCAGAGCTCCTCGTCCAGCAGACCAGCACGGAACTGAAAGATCCGTCTCACCTGTGTTGTCAAGATGTGAGGCGACAGGCCCAGTACTCCGTGTGCTCCATGCCTCATGAAGGCCGTGGGGCAGAATAGAGCAGCGGTAAAAAGGTGCAAACTTGGGCTGGAGAGAATGCTCAGACACTCTTGCAGGGGACCCGACCTCAGTTCCTGGCGCCGACGTCACAGTCAGTGTAACTCCAGCTCCAGGAGATCCGCTGGGTGAAGCACGGGCACATAGACCCGCACATACACATAATACAAAATAACTTCTAGCATGCAAACCTGGCTGGGTACGGTGGTGCACACCTTCAACCCCAGCACTCAGGAAGCAGTGATAGGCCGATCTCTTTAAGTTTGAGGCAGCCTAGTCTACATAGCAAGTACAGGCCAGCCAGGGCTACCTAGTGACATCCTGTCTCAAAAAACAAAAACAAGAATGTCAGAAGAGAGCTGGGCAGTGGCAGCACACACCTTTAATCCCTACATTCGGGAGGCAGAGGCAGGTGATCTCTGAGTTCTAGGTCAGCCTGGTTGACAAAGGAAGTCCAGGACAGCCAAGGCTACACAGAGAAGCCCTGTCTTGAAAAAAAAAAAAAAAAAAAAAAAAAAAGTCAGAAGAGGCTGAGGATATGGCCCAGTTCCTGGGGTTCTCCAGTGGTGGTTGGGGACAGGGTGTAGGTAGAAGAAAGGGTAATGAAATAATGTTAACTGATAAAAAATAGGCTAAAATGCTATACAACTTTTATATAAACTGAGAGTGGTGAACTAGTCTATATAATGCCAGCACTTGAGAGGCTGAGGCAGGATCATCAAAAGTCCAAGGCCACATGGGCTACGTGAGACCCTTTTTCACAAAGCAAAGCAAAAAGTGTACAGCCCAGGTGTGGTGCCACATACCTGTAATTCTAGCACTTACAGAGTGAAGCCAGAGGACCAATG